CCCCCCCCAAATCCTCCCCCCTTCTAACACTGATGATGTTACCTGGTTGGCTACTGAAACATCTGCAAGAAAACATCCAAGCTCAGAGAGCACCAAGGTCCCCTCATTTCAACCCTGAGCTAAAAAGATTCTCCTTTATCAGTATCTGCATTGATTAAGCCCTCTACTTAACGACTGCAATTTAGGCCACAATTTCGGTCGTTAAGTCGTGACAATTGTAAAACAGGTCACCCCGTGACTGCCACCCGATTTGACCACCTTTTTGCAGCAGTTAAGTGAGCGTGGCGGTCATAAAGCTCACGCTGCTGTCACGAAGCGAACCCGTTGTTTGTTATGGGGCAAGGAATAAATGCCAGTTTCTGGCAAAAAAAACCATAGTTAAATCGTAGCCATGTTGACTGCAGGACGCTGCAGTCTGGCTGCCCGGTGCCCAAAATGCAGTCTCGGGTGGCCGCGGTTAGGAGGGACAGACCTTGGAACCTGGATCCCAGGTCCTCAGTCCTGTTTTTTGGGGGTCTCTGTCGTCACTTTCAAACCAATTGGAGAATGTGATTTATGACGGTTAGTTGTAGGAGGGAATTGTGGTTTGATCTACGCGCAAACTGCAAACGGTTGCTAAGTGACAGGTCATGTTGTGAGTCCGTGCCAGCCAGTGGAACCGGCAGGGGGAATCAGAGGAGGAGGAGGAGGAGGGGTTTGGAGAGCCATCAGAGCCGGAGGAAGGCTCTGATGAGTTACAGGACTCACAATCGGATGAAGAGCCTGGCCCCTCCAATCATGGTCAGGATGAGACCCAGCTGTGTGGGGAAAATGAGTCAGACTCTGAGGACTCAACAGCTGGAAATCATTATAGATGCTCCTAAACGCAGACAGGCAACAAGAGCAGGACAGAGGGAGGCAATGGGACGGCTCTAAAGGAGGAGGAGAAGGCATTGAGAAGCCATGCCTTGGGGCTGTTTAATAAAAAGGGGAAGGTGTGGGCGGTGCTGGTTGCTGAAGGCAACCGTTGCAAAGTACTTCGTGGGATCACGCTCTGTTGGTATTGCCGGTGAATAATTCCCTGTTTTGCATTGCGTTTCGTGTGGACAATTTCCTCCGTTTGGATTGTGTTTGGTTGCTTTTGTTTTTGGACCATTGGGCAGGTTTGTTACCAATATTAAAAGGGGTTTTCTTCTGAGTCTCTCAAAAGGACGGCCATAGGCTGGGACAGAACAGGTCATAAGTCCAGGACTACCTGTACAGAGGGGGGGGGGGGAAGAGCTTGCCCTGTCAGGGGTGGATGCCGTCCCGAGTCCTGGACTGGTCTTCCTTCTGCAGCCACTCTGGACGGAGGCATGGGGCTGCTGCTGCCCATGCAGGAGAAGACCTACCGGCGGCTGCTGATGTTGCAGAACGCGCTGACTTCCATGCTGCCCCACCACGCGGGGCTCAACCCTCGGGCCTTCAGGTACCCCCTCCCCGGGGATGGGGGTGGGAACCGGCTGCCGAAGGCAGCGGGGCGGGCAGCCTAGGCTCCCGGCAGCCTCACCTCCCGCCCTCCTCCCTTCTAGGATGCTGCACATGGACCGGCGCATCCTGCAGAACGCCGTCCGGAACATTCTGGACGGGGAGCTGCTGAACCGCTACCTCTACCTGAGCACCATGGAGCGCAGCGAGCTGGCCAAGAAGATCGGCACCACGCCGGACATTGTGAGCAGCGGGGGGGGGGAGGGAGGGAGGGAGGGAGGGAGGGCAGACCCCCTCCCTCTCTTGGGAGGTGGACCTTTGGCTGAAGGCAGCCGGAATGGGACAACTCGCTGTGGGACAGCTCAACACGAGATGACAATAACAAAAACAACAATAATAATAAAGTTGGAAGGGACCTTGGAGGTCATCTAGTCCAACCCCCTGCTCAGGAAGGAAACCCTTGGAATACTGCATCCAGTTTTGGTCACCACTATGTAAAAAAGATGTTGAGACTCTAGGAAGAGTGCAGAGAAGAGCAACAAAGATGATCAGGGGACTGGAGGCTAAAACATATAAGGAACGGTTGCTGGAATTGGGAATGTCTAGTTTAACGAAGAGAAGGACGAGGGGGGACATGATAGCAGTCTTCCAGTATCTCAGGGGCTGCCCCAAAAAAGAGGGAGTCAAGCTATTCTCCAAAGCACCTGAAGGCAGGACGAGAAGCAACGGATGGAAACTCATCAAGGAGAGAAGCAACCTAGAACTAAGGAGAAACTTCCTGACAGTGAGAACAATTAACCAGTGGAACTACCTGCCTCCAGAAGTGGTGAATGCTCCAACACTGGAAGTTTTTAAGAAGAGACTGGACAGCCATTTGTCTGAAATGGTATATAAGGTCTCCTGCCTGAGCAGGGGGTTGGACTAGAAGACCTCCAAGGTCCCTTCCAACATCATCATCATCATCATCATCATCATCATCATCATCATCATCATCATTATTATTATTATTATTATTATTATTATTATTATTATTATTATTATTTCCAATTAAGTCCAGTAGCCTCCTGGAAAAAGTCCCTTTGGGACGGCCATGGATGACGGAGAACCTCCATAGACCTCCCAACTTCCTCACACCTTCTTCCTCCCTCTCTCCAACAGATCCTGGAAGACTTGCTGGAGATCGATCGCGTCACCGCCCATTTCTAGGGCATCCTGTCTTCGCTGCAACGGAGGCGTTTCGACGTGCCCCATCTTCTCCCCAAGTTGCCACATTCCTTGTTGTGTTTGGTGTTTGATTTTGATAGAAAACCGTCCATATGAGATTTGTATAAAACGTTAAGGATTTGTAAAGAAACGACAAAGTGGTGGTGACTGGTCTGCTGTTTGGGGAGTGAATTAAGGGCTGGGGGGGGTGTCTCTCACGAGTACCACTTTGTGGAGGGGGTGTGTGGTGATGAAACGTCTAGAGACTGGACGGCCATTTGTCCGAAATGGTCTAGGTCAGTGGTTCTCAATCTTTTTAATGCCGCGACCCCCAACCGGTCGTAAGTCGAGGACTAAACCGGTCGTAAGTCGAGGACTAAACCGGCCGTAAGTCAAGGACTACCCAACCGGTTGTAAGTCGAGGACTTTCCCTGTCCGGGAGCGCCGCGCATGCGTGGTTCCGCCCCCTGCGCCGGCCGAGGCGTAGCTGGCAAGCGGCAGAGATGGAGCAGGCCGACCACCAGATGGCCCAGCCCAAGGGAGGTAAGGCACCCGCCGGAAAAGGGGGAAAAATGGCGGGAAAAAAATGGCAGACAAAAAAAATGGCGGACAGCCTTGCTTGGCGACCCCCGTGAAATGGTCGATCGACCCCAAATGGGGTCCCGACCCACAGGTTGAGAACCACTGGTCTAGGGTTTCCTGCCTGAGCAGGGGGTTGGATTAGACGACCTCCAAGGTCCCTTCCAACTTTATTATTATCTCCATTCTGTGCCCAACATGCTTTTGCAAAAGGAAGCTGGACTTCGTTTTTCCTTGAAGACGTTTCGCTTCTCCTCCAAGAAGCTTCCTCCGTTCTGGCTGAATGGTGGGGAATGGAAGGATTCCATCTTCTTTCCACATTCATCCAGAACTGAAGAAGCGTCTTGGAGGAGGAGAAGCGAAAGGTCTTTTGAGGAAAAACAAGGAAACTCCAGCTGCCTTTGGGACCACCACGATCTGGAGGACGGGAGAAGCTCAGTAGACAATCTCGATTCTGGGTTCCGGAGTGGAAGGAATTCTTCCTTTGGAAGCTGGACAGGCAGCCATTTGCATTCTCCTCCTTGTTGCTGGGGGGTCGGGGGGGCTGAGCACTCGCTTTCCTTCAAAGAGCAGCTGGTCAGCCAGATGAGCAGGTTACACAAAGCCAATATTGCTTTGGTCCGAGACTTGTGGACTTCAACTCCCAGAATTCCTCAGGTGGCCATTTTGATGAAACTGCTGGCTTGGATCCAGACCAACTTGGCCCTTTTATGACTGGTGGACTTCAACTCCCAGAATTCCTCAGCTAGGCACTGAATTCTGGGCTCCTTTTGGGGGGGGCAGGTTCTTATGCAGGGGTCTTCAAACGCGTGCCTGACTGAGGAATTCTGGGAGTTGAAGTCCACAGGTCTTAAACTAGCCACAATTGGACACTCCTTCCCAAAACTTGAGCTGCCACATAGCGAGTGACGGGGACTAAATCAGGAACAGGCTGTCCTTTGGAGTTGGGGGGGTCACCGGAGCAGGGGGTCTTGTCCCTCAAAAGTGCGGGCACGGCCGTCCCTTCTGCCCAGGCAGCAAGTAGAACAAGGACGCTCCCAGGGCCTGGCACGCTGCACTGCCAGGTGGCGTGTTTTTGTGTCTTTTTCGTGTTAAAGCCTGTTTGAAAAGCAGCCGTGGTGGTGAAACGGATTCCTCTTAAGGGATGACTGCTTCCCTGGACAAGGATGTGGGTCTGGGGGTAGCCGTACCCCTAGCCCACCTCCCCCTGAAGAAGTGGACCCTCTGCGGAAACCACGTTTGGCACGCCTGGCTCGGCTGAAGCCTGTGCAATAAACTGGGGGAGGGCCTGAAATTGCCAAGGTTGCGGGTTCCTGGGGGAAGGGCAAGCCCTCTGTGCAGGCAAGGGCAGTTGGTCCCAGAGGGAGGGGGTCTGGGGGGGGGGAAGTGTGTGTATTTGCTCCCATCGTTTGTGCAAAAAGCCATTTAATCACATAATGGCAAGAATTGCAGGATATGAAGGGTCCCGGGTGCCCTCTGAGCTGGGTGGTTTTCTTGCAGACATTTCATGACCTGACTAGGCAACATCATCAGTGCTAGAAGGGAGTTGGGTGTGGGAGGAGCTGGTGGTTTTCTTGCAGACATTTCATGACCAAACTAGGTGCCATCTTCAATGTTGGGAGGGGGGGTTGTGGAGGAGGAGGAAAGGACTGGGGGGTCCTTGGTGCTCTCTGAGCTGGGTGGTCTTCTTGCAGACGTTTCATGACCCAACTAGGTTACATCATCAGTGCTAGAAGTGAGTGGAGCTTGTGGAGAGGAGGAGAAAAGGACTGGGGGGTCCTTGGTGCTCTCTGAGCTTGGCTGTTTTTGCAGACCTTTTGTGACCCAACTAGGCAACATCATCAGTGCTAGAAGAGAGTAGAGTGTGAGGACACCGACGACTGTGGGCTCCTTGGTGCTCTCTGAGCTTGGCTGTTTGCTTGCAGACATTTCATGACCCAACTAGGTAACATTATCAGTGCTAGAAGGGGGGAGGAGGAAGGACTGTGGGGACTTTGGTGCTCTCTGAGCTTGGTGGCATTCTTGCAGATGTTTCATGACCCAACTAGGGAACATCATCAGTGCTAGAAGGGAGAGGGCTGTGCGGAGAGGAAGAGGAGGAGGAGGAGAGCTGTGGAGTCCTTGGTGCTTGGCTGTTTTCTTGCAGATGTCTCATGACCCAACTAGATAATATCATCAATGCTAGAAGGGAGTGGGGTTTGGGGAAAGGAGGACGACTGTGGGGTCCTTGATGCTCTCTTGCACCCAAATGAAGTAACATCCTCAGTGCTAGAAAGTGCAAAAACCCCACTCCTTACTAGCACTGAGGCTACTATTACCTACGGGGGCAATGAAATGTCTGCAAGAAAGCAACCAAGGCACCCTTACAATCCTCCTCCTCCTCTGCGGAATCACCTTTCCCTTCTAGCACTGATGATGTTCCCTAGCTGGGTCATGAAACGTCTGCAAGGAACCCCCCCCCCCCAGCTCAGAGAGCACTAGGGACCCCCCCCCACTTCAACCCTTGTGCTACAGAGATTCTCCTTTGTTGGGTAGTTGCAGGAAAGCAGCCCAGGAAGAGTTTTTAAGCTTTTTTTAATGCAGCTACAACAGGAAACCTTCCTCGTCCGGTGGGACTCAGGAGCCTAGCTAGGTACAGAGTTGAGCCAGCGTTACCACTCCGGATAGCTGTGGGGGGGGGGGGCACATGGTTTATCCCCCAACACCCACCCCTCCGATTCTTGGACCCCTTGCTCCCCATTCACCGGCCTGGGGCCCTTCCGAGGGTCCCAAGGATTCCACCTTTAGCTCAGCCGCTGCCTCCCGCCATCCCCTAAAGCAGGGATCTTCCAACTGGGCCCTTGGATGACTTGTGGACTTCAACTCCCAGAATGCCTCAGTCGGCCATTTTGATGAAACTGCGGGCTTGGATCCAGACCAGGGGTCTTCCAACCTGGCCCTTTTATGACTTGGGGACTTCAACTCCCAGAATGCCTCAGCCAGGCACTGAATTCTGGGCTCCTTTTTTTGGGGGGGAGCAGGTTCTTATGCAGGGGTCTTCAAACGCGTGCCTGACTGAGGAATTCTGGGAGTTGAAGTCCATGAGTCATCCAAGGGCCAAGTTTGAAGACCCCCCTGTCTTAAAGCATCCCGGCTGAGGAATTCTGGGAGTCGAAGTCCCCAAGTCATCAAAGGGCCAAGTTGGAAGACCCCTGATACAGACTTTAAGAGGAATGGACTTCAACTCCCAGAATTCTTCAGCCAGGCGTGCTGGCTGAGGAATTCTGGGAGTTGAAGTCCACAAGTCATCCAAGGGCCAAGTTGGAAGACCCCTGCCCTAAAGGCAGAAAAAAACGGGGAGTGGGCTCCAGAGAAACCCCCCCCTTCTCCGTGGGTTTAGAAAGAAAAGAGAGAAACACCCCCCCCCCCAGCTACTTAAACAGCAGGACGGTTTCTGGCTGGTTCTTTTAAGTTAAATATGGCGAGTTGCCCCTTATTCAAGTTTCTGAACTAATTAAAAAAAAACAACAACCCCTCAGTCAGGTTCTGCTCCAGAAAGAGGAGGGGGCTTCCTCGAATGTGCCCCCGCTTCGCCATGCGTCGGTTCCTCTGGAGGGAGCCCGCCGTCGGTGGGGCGAGGGCCGCCCTGTGCTTGCCCATCCTCCGGGCCTTTCCAGGATCAGGCCTGGAGTAGGTTGTAAAGTTCCGCTTGCTCCTCGCTGGTCTTCAAGAAGCCGACGTAAACCAGGAGTTGCAGCAAGGACCTGGTTAGCTTCATGGAGGTGACCTGGATCCTGGGGGGGGGGGGGGGGGGGGGGGGGGGGGGGGGGGGGGGGGGGGGGCACTTAATAGTTTGGGAAAGAAGGGGGGGGTTAAAAGGGCAGGAGACCCACCCCCATTTTGGCACATGCAGAACTGTCCTCGGCTTGCTTACTCCACTTAGTAGAGTCACCAACCAGACCGGAAAGCTACTTCCCACCCAGTTACAAGCAGTCCTCCATTTACAACGGTTCACATATGGCGACTGTTCAGAGTTACGACGTCACTGGGAAAAGGGACCTGGGACCGTTTTTCACGCTTAACGACCGTCGTCGCCGCATCCCCCAGGCTCAACGTGATCAAAATTCGGACGCTATTTACGACGGTTAGGTGGCGTCCCGGTTGTGTGTTGTGTGTGTGTGTGTGAGAGACGTGATCTCCTTTGGCGACCGTCTGGCGAGCAATGGAGTAAGCCGGTTTTGCTTCCCAGCTGTCTGACGAATGCAGCGATTCGCTGAGCAGCTGGGGCGGGAAAGGCCATAAAGCAGGGCAAACCAATGTCTTCACCGTCTCACTTAACGACGGAAATTTTGGGCTCGGCTCCGGTCGTAAGTAGAGGACTACCTGCACTGAAGGGCCAACCTCTCTCCTCCACCACCAGGGTAAGATGACCGGGTTTCGGGCCGCTCTGCAACCATCCACATTTTTATTTGATTTTTTTTTAATTGATTAAACTTATATACCAGCCATCTCACTGGGATGAAGACCCGTGGACTTCAATTCCCAGAATTCCCCAGCCAGCGAATGCTGGCTGGGGAATTCTGGGAGTTGAAGTCCACGGGTCTTCAAATGGCCTAGTTGGGACCCCCCCCCCTTTGCTCTGGCCAGCCTCTTATAGCAGCACCCCTCAATCAGCCGGTTGCAATTTATGAGATCCTCAAAAGCGACCCCCCGCTAATGACCGGTTCATTTAACGACGGTTGTGAAAAGCGTCCTAACTCGCTTTTCGACTCCTCGCACCGGACTGTGCTTGACCGGCTCCATTAAGGGCTGTTAAGCCGAGGCCTCCCTGTCTTTTCCCCTTACCTGAGAGTGAACTCGAACACAAGGCTGTCCCAAAAAGCACGGACCCACCGGACGAGGAAGAAGTTGGCCAAGACACCGGACCTCTGGCTGACCGTGCGGCTCCAGCATTTCACCGCGCTGAGGGAGGGAGGGAGACAGACAGACATAGGGTCTCCTGTCGGAGCAGGGGGCTGGACTAGAAGACCTCCCAGGTCCCTTCCAGCTCTATTCTGATTTATTGAACTACTTTCCGAAATGGCATAGGGTCTGCTGTCTGAGCAGGGGGCTGGACTAGAAGACCTCCCGGGTCCCTTCCAAATTCTGTTATTCCGTTAATGAACCAGTGGGACGGAAGTGGCCTTCAGAATTTGTGGGTGCTCCATTTTCAAGAAGAGATTGGGGAACCAATTGTCTGGAAGGGTATAGGGTCTCCTGCTTGAGAAGGGGGTAGGGTTGGACTAGAAGACCTCCAGGGTCCCTCCCAATTGTCATTCTGTTCTGTGGGAAGAGTGTGTCCGGGGGGGCCGGGCAACCACAGTCTCCCCCCTCTTTTCTCTGGCCTCTTTGCCCCTTCTTCCCACTGAGATAGGAGCAGATTTCAACCAAACTTCCCAGGCTCACCCGGCCTACGGGATCCATCTTGTGGCCCCCCCAGCCCCCCCTTCCCAGGGATTCCTAGGGGCCCTCAATGCCCCAAACTGCACCCCTTCTCCGTCTCAGAGCAGAGATGGCTGGCTCTAAATGCAATCCAAATGTCCTTTTGGGCAAATGCTCCCCCAGCCAGATAACTCGTAATTCTATTTAAGTTCTTGAAGGTGTCCCCGGAGTCACTCCACCAAGGATGGGGCATCTGCTAACAGCAAAGATCCTCTCAAATAAATAAAAGTTTTGCAAAACTTTAGAACAGTATTTCTCAGCATTCTGAAGATGGGTGGAGGTCAACTCCCAGAATTCCCCAGCCAGCTTCCTGCTTAAAGATGGGTGGACTTCAGTTCCCAGAATTCCCCAGCCAGCTTAAAGATGGGTGGACGTCAACTCCCAGAATTCCCCAGCCAGCTTTCTGCTTGGATTGGTGAATTTCAACTCCCAGAATTCCCCAGCCAGCTTAAAGACGGGTGGACTTCAACTCCCAGAATTCCCCAGCCAGCTTTCTGCTTAAAAATGGGTGAATGTCAACTCCCAGAATCCCCCAGCCAGCTTCCTGTTTAAAGATGGGTGGACTTCAACTCCCACAATCCCCCAGCCAGCTTCCTGTTTAAAGGTGGGCGGACTTCAACTCCCAGAATCCCCCAGCCAGCTTCCGGCTTAAAGATGGGTGGACTTCAACTCCCAGAATCCCCCAGCCAGCGAGGATTGACCAACATTCAAACAAGAACAGATGTGGCTAGACTACTTTTATCGCATGGTTGTAACTTTCTTAATAGAGAAGTAGCTGTCTTAATAGACGGTGGGAATGTGGTCGATGTAATAGATCTTGACTTCAGGCAAGTAGCTTCCCAAGTGGAAAAAAAAAAAATAGCCGGCTGGGGAATTCTGGGAATTGAAGTCCACCCATCTTATTGAGAGACGCTGCTTCTGCCCGCTTGCTTGCGGCTCCCACCTTCTGGCCATGAGGTAGTAGCGGTCCACGGGAGCCCCCAGTGCCAGGTTGATGCTCCGGACGGTGTTGATGTTCCGGAAGACGAGCAGCATGGAGCGGGGCAGGTCCCTCAGCACCCGCATGATGCGGTCGAAGCCGTGCTTAGCCATGTCCCGCATGTAGGCGGTCTCCGCTTGGTTCAGGACGTTGGACATGGCCAGCTCCGCCATGTTGATGGGCCGCTGGAGCAGCATCTCGCAGAAGAGGAAGTAATCCTGGGCTGGGGCAGGGGGGAGGGAAAGGAAGGGGCAGTCAGGAATGGAGAACCCCCCCCTCACCAGGCCAGAAAGGAATTGAGGGGCAACTGGAAATGGCTTGCAAGCCAGGGGTCCTGGGTGCTCTCTGAGCCTGGGGGTTTCCTTGCAGACGTTTCATTGCCTGAGTAGGTAACATCATCAGTGCTAGAAGGGAGGAGGATCTGCGAGGAGGAGGAGGAGGAGGAGGAGGAGGACTACAGCATCCTCAGTGCTTGGTTTGATTTCTTGCAGACCTTTCATTACGATAATAGGTAATATCAGTGTTACAAAGGAGTGTTAGAAGCAAACCCTCCTCCCTTCTAGCACTGATCATGTTACCTAGCTGGGTCACGAAACGTCTGCAAGGAAACCAGGAAACTCAGAGAGCACCAAGGACCCCACAGTCCTCCTCCTCCTCCTCCTCCTCCTCCTCCTCTTCTTCCCCCTCCTCCTCCTTTTCCTTCTCCTCTTCCTCCCCACAAACCCCCCTCCCTTCCAGCACTGATGATGTTCCCTAGTTGGGTCATGAAACGTCTGCAAGGAAACCACCCAGCTCAGAGAGCACCAGGGACACCCCCCCCATACTTCAATCCCCAGCTACAAATTATGACTCGCAAGCAGGGCAACCAATTCGGAAGTGCCGATTCTTGCCCCCCGCCCCCATCCCAATTCCCCCAGAACAGCGGGATCCTCTCCTCCTGGGCAAAGCCATTTCTGGAGGCATCGCAAGAAACCCAGCTGGATCTTCTTCCCCCCCCCCGACGGGATCCACCCAGTGAATCCCCCTTTTACAGACGCACCGGCCCCCTCCTCACCTTTGATGCCCAGCTGCTGGGAGTAGAGCCGCATGGAGGGGTCGTCCCGCAGGATGAGGGCGCGCCAGAGCTTGCACAAAGCTCCTCGTTCCCTGGGGGGGGGCAGAGCACAGAGAAGAGCTGTTGGCAGGGGGAGGGAAGGGGCCGACGCAGCTGCAGACCCTCGGGGGTCCAGGAGGCAGCTACAGCAGTGGTTCTCAACCTTTTTAATGCCGCGACCCCAACCGGTCGTAAGTTGAGGACTAAACCGGTCGTAAGTCGAGGACTAAACCGGTCGTAAGTCGAGGACTACCCAACCGGTCGTAAGTTGAGGACTTTCCCTGCCCGGGAGCGCCGTGCATGCGTGGTTCCGCCCCCTGTGCCGGCCGAGGCGTAGCTGGCAAGCGGCAGAGACAGAGCAGGCCGACCACCAGCTGGCCCAGCCCAAGGGAGGTAAGGCACCCGCCGGAAAAGGGGAAAAAAATGGCGGACAAAAAAAATGGCGGACAGCCTTGCTTGGCGACCCCCGTGAAATGGTCGATCGACCCCAAATGGGGTCACAACCCATAGGTTGAGAACCGCTGAGCTACAGGTTGTCCTCAAGTTATGACGGCCATTGGGAGCGGAATACCCCCCTCCCCTCCAAGGCTGACGCAGTCTTAAAGTGGGAGGCCAGGCGACCACATTCCTTAGCAATGACAATCCCTGGAGACCCCGTTGTCGTCGTTCAGGGCCACCTCCTCACAACTTGGCAGGACATTGTTGCCAGTCTCCCGTGGACGGCGATCATCCTGGCCGGCAGGAACGTCCAGATACGACCACCCTAGCCCGGAATTCGCCTGGCTAAGCAAGACAAGTTTTTAAGTTGAGTTTTGCCCCGTTTTTCTCGCCACGGTTACTAACTTAGTAACCATGGGCAGGGCTTTTCAACCAGTGGTACGGGTACCCCCTGTGGCACATGGGCACCTGGCAGGTGGTACGCGACCATCCTAGAAAAGGGGTAGCGGGGGAGGGGAATGAGCTGAACCGGTGGCAGCACCGTACAAGCCTGAGCGAGAGACGGCTGGAGCTGCAGGGCTGTCAGGGCTCAGTGGAAGCACCAGGATCAGCGCCAGGATCCAGCTGGAGCTTGGCGCTGATCCTGGCGCTTCCGCTGAGCCCAGAAGAAGCGCCGATCAGCTGGAATGTTGCAGCCTCTCCAGGGTCTTGTGATTTACATTCAGATGCTTGGCAACTGATTCATATCTATGACGGTCACAGTGTCCCAGGGTCATGTGAAGTGACCAAAACCTGCTGCAACCACCCAGCAGACGGGGGGGGGGGAAATAAAAACCAAACACCCCCCCACCCCACCCCCGCTGCCAATCCTCAACAGAAATGCTCACAACAATGAAAACCTCGGACAGGAGGAAGAGCGCCACTGGGCGGGCAGGCAGGTGTCTTGTTCGGCTGTGGCTTGGGGGGCACTTTTTTCAGTGCCACTGTAACTTCGAACAGTCACTAAGCGAACTATTGTAAGTCGAGGACTACCTGTTCTTTATCATTTTTTTCCTTTTTTTGGTCATCCAGTTTTTGACCCCTTGCTAGGCGACTGCTGGTACTCAGATGTTGCCATATCCTAAAAGTGGCACAATGGGTGAAAAGGTTGAAAAGCCCTGACCTGGGGGTTACATGAACCTGGCTTCCCCGTTGACTCTGCTTGCCAGGTCACAAAAGGGGATCACCTGATGCCGGGACCCAGCAACCGTCATAAATGCGAGCCAGTGGCCAAGCGTCCGAATTCTGACCACGGGGGATGCTGCAACCGTCATTAAGTGTGAAAAACGGACGTAAGTTCCCTTTTTCAGTCCCGTTGCTGCTTCAAACAGTCACTAAGTGAACCGTTGTCGGTGGGGGACGGCCTGAGGCTGCTGGTCCCTGAACAAGACGCTGCTACTCAGGGGGTGCTTGTACACCAAAGGGGATGCTCCTGCCTGACACACACGCACGCACGCATACACACACACAGACCCCGATCCTTACTTCTCGTGAAGGATCTCGTACAGGCCGTGATCCAGGAGAACCAACTGCGCTTTGCCGTCTGGGCCCTTCTGAACCAGCACTGCAAGACAGGAATGAAGAATGGGGGGGGGGGTGAGGGCAGCCCAATGCAGTCCTGTCTGGAGATGAAGCATTCCCCCCCCCAATTCCCACCCCCCAGGAAATTCCCTTTAAAGCCCGCCCGGCTCCCCATCCGTCCGGGCTCTTCGGTCCGGTTCTGTGTAATGTCAACGCTGCTAACCTCGGAGGTTCTTGCTTTGACAACAGACGGCGATGCAGCCATTTTCTTTTACTTTATGTTTTACTCTTAGAGTTAGAATTAAGAGGATACCGGGAGGAAGGAGGAGGAATGTGCATGGGAGGGCATCTAGTGGTCTAGATGCTGAGGGCATCTAGTGGTCCAGCTTCTGATTTTTTTTCCTATAAACGATGCTGGTTTAATGGTTAGATGGCCAAGGCAGGGGTATTTGAACCTAGTTCATTTAGCATTCCTATTCTATTGTGTCTTTTTAATCTAGGTGAAATGTTAATATATATGTATGTATGTATGTATTTATGTATGTATGTATTCAAAAATTAAAACACAGATCACTGAGATTAAAAATGTATTTAAAAACTAGCTTTCGTCAGCGTCTAAGGAACAGCCAGCTGAAACAGCAGCATCACGGCAGAATACACACTGCACACGGGCGGGGTGTGAGGAGAGGAGCAGGGTGCCTAAATTTAAACAGCCGTCAATGAGTGCAACGGAAACAACACAGCAATTAACTACAGGGGGGAGGGAGCTGAACAGACCGGTAACACGGTCATTAGCTAAACGCTTGGCGTTACAAAGACTGTAAGAACGTGATTCTCAATCCTGGCTAGAACTCTGACGATATCAGCAGACGCTGACGAAAGCTAAGTTTTTAAATAAATTTTTAGTCTCGGTGATCTGTGTTTTAGTTTTTGAATATGAATATACCTGAGACTCGTATCTTCAAAACCATTATGTATGTATGTATGTATGTATGTATGTATGTATGTATGTATGTATGTATGTATGTATGTATGTATATATGTGTTTTTCAAAATTTGGATTGCTAACAAAGAATTAAGGGAGTACTGGGATAGCTATTTCTAACCTTATTAGGTTTTCATCAGCCAGACATACCCTTGCTGAGATTCGAACCTGGGCTGTCTGCATGTTAAGCAGAAGTGTTGCCCCTAGACCACAGGCTCTTTCTCGCTTTGTTAGCTACAAGAGACAGGGGAAGAGGATGAATGCTTTTTGAACACCCTGTCGGCCCAAATATGGGGGAGAGAAGTCTTTTGAAAAACACATATGATGTCGCAGTTAAGCGACTGCTGCCTGTGGATGGCTCTGGATTGAGCTGATACAGGCAAAAGACTTCTCTCCCCCATATTTGGGCTGACAGGGTGTTCAAAAAGCACTCATCCTCTTCCCCTGTCTCTTGTAGCTAACAAAGTGAGAAAGAGCCTGTGGCCTAGGGGCAACACTTCTGCTTAACATGCAGACAGCCCAGGTTCGAATCTCAGCAGGGTATGTCTGGCTGATGAAAACCAAATAGGGTTAGAAATAGCTATCCCAGTACTCCCTTAATTCTTTGTTAGCAATCCAAATTTTGAAAAACACATATGATGTCGCAGTTAAGCGACTGCTGCCTGTGGATGGCTCTGGATTGAGCTGATACAGGCAAAAGACTTCTCTCCCCCATATTTGGGCCGACAGGGTGTTCAAAAAGCATTCATATATATATGTATATATATATGTAGGTCTGGTTATTCGGGTTTTCTCCCGCATAAAATTGGAAGTGTCTTGGCGACGATTTTCAACTGCCATACTGCAGTTTACTCTTTTTACAATATCTCTTGCCTTGCCGCCCCCAACTAGGGGCATAGAGCAGGCTCAAGTCGCAACTGCGAAATATTTTTATATCCAAATTTCTTTTTTCTGACAAAGAGTAAAGAATTAAATTGGGAGACTAAGATGGACCATTTCTGGCTTTTTGCCTTCATCAGTTATGCAGTATGGCAGTTGAAAATGTCAAGGTGTTCACAATCAGACCAATCTGTCTGAACTCCCTATAATTACTCCCTTGACTCTGCTGGCAAAGAGGGGAAGAGAACCTGTGGCTCAGTGACTAAATCACTGACTAGTATGTATAACTGCCCAGGTTCGAATCCCATAAAGGGTATGGCTAACTGATGAAGGCAAAAAGCCAGAAATGGTCCATCTTAGTCTCCCAATTTAATTCTTTACTCTTTGTCAGAAAAAAGAAATTTGGATATATATATATATCCAAATTTCTTTTCTGACAAAGGGAAGAGAACCTGTGGCTCAGTGACTAAATCACTGACTAGTATGTATAACTGCCCAGGTTCGAATCCCATAAAGGGTATGGCTAACTGATGAAGGCAAAAAAGCCAGAAATGGTCCATCTTAGTCTCCCAATTTAATTCTTTACTCTTTGTCAGAAAAGAAATTTGGATATAAAAATATCTCGCAGTTGCGACTTGAGCCTGCTCTATGCCCCTAGTTGGGGGCGGCAAGGCAAGAGATATTGTTAAAAGAGTAAACTGCAGTATGGCAGTTGAAAATGTCAAGGTGTTCACAATCAGACCAATCTGTCTGAACTCCCTATATATATATATATATATGTAGGTCTTTGGTCATTCGGGTTCTCTCCCGCGTAAAATTGGAAGTGTCCTGGCGACGTTTCAACGAAGTCACATTCGTCATCTTCAGGCTGGTGTCTTCAGCTTCGTGCTTCCCAGAAGCACGAAGCTGAAGACACCAGCCTGAAGATGATGAATGTGACTTCGTTGAAACGTCGCCAGGACACTTCCAATTTTACGCGGGAGAGAACCCGAATGACCAAAGACCTACATACAAACACCCGCGAAAACCTCAGAAAACATATATATATATATTTGTTTTCGTAGATTTGCAGATATATATATATGCAGTAAAAAACAAATAAATGTGAACACCAGGATAATATCAAACTAAAAATCGTTTAATAAAATGCTGAGCTTTCGTTGGTCAGCACTACCGACATCATCAGAGCATAAGAGTAGGTCAATGGGAGTCCCCTTTTTATAACACTGGCCGGTTTTTGCACACGGCTCCTGGACCTGGTCAGCATTTTATTAAACGATTTTTAGTTGGATATTATCCTGGTGTTTGCATAAATCCTTGATTCTCGGTGGTGTCTCCTACCGTTTCCGGGGTGAGGGTCTGCATGGATGAATCCGGTGAAGAAGATCTGCTCGGCAAACACCTTGATCAGCTTCTCCGCTGCCTGGAGGGAGGGAGGGAGGGAGGGGGTGAGAGGGGGGGAGGGAGGAGAGGGGTCTCTGAAAGGGGAGAAAGCAAAGGCCGTGGCTTTGCTCAGAGACAGCTACTCCCTCACTCACAAGGCAGGTCTCCTTGGGGCTCTCTGAGCTGGGTGGTTCTCCTGCAGATGTTTCATGACCCAACTAGGGAACATCATCAGTACTAGAAGAGAGTGGGATTTGTGGAGAGAAGAGGGGGAGGGGGAGGGGGAGGAGGAGGGGGGACTATTGGGTCCTTGGTGCTCTCTAGGCTTGTTTTCCTGCAGATGTTTCATGACCCGGCTAGGTAATATCATCAGTCCTAGAATGGGGTTTGTGGAGAGGAGGAGGGGGGGAGGAGGAGGAGGAGGAGGAGCTGGTGGAGGAGGTGGTGGAGGAGGGCTGTTGGGTCCTTGGTGCTCTCTGAGCTAGGTGGTTTTCCTGCAGATGTTTCACGACCCAGCTAGGTAATATCATCAGTCCTAGAATAGGGTTTATGGAGAAGAGGAGGAGGAGGAGGAGGAGGAGGTGGTGGTGGTGGTGGAGGAGGTGGAAGAGGTGGAGGAGGAGGAGGAGGAGGGCTGTTGGGTCCTTGGTGCTCTCTGCAGATGTTTCACGACCCAACTAGGGAACACCATCAGTACTAAAAGGAAAGGGGGTTGCAGGGAGGAGGAGGACTGTGGGGTCCCTTGGTTGCCTTCTTGCAGACGTTTCATAACCCAACTAGGGAACATCATCAGGGCTGGCTAGGAGAGAAGGTGCGCCAGGCCCCCCCAAAGGACCCATCCGAGCCGATGATCCCCAACCACACCAATCAGCTTCCCGGCGGCAGGCATGACCCAACGGCGATGCCCGACCTTCTCCGCCCCGCCCCCAGGTCCCCCCCCCCGAGACTCACGTCCTTGGGGCTCAAGCCTTGCTTCAGGAGCCCCTCCAGGTCGTTAATTTTGCAGGCTTCGTAGAAATCGGCAGTCAGGACCCGCTAAGCACAGGGAGAGAAGGGAAGCGAGGTTAGAAAAGGCTGCGGCACAGGAGCGTCCGTAGCACTGCGATCAATGGGAAAGTCATCCACGGGGATAAACGCCACACGTCAGCAGAAGCCCCAGGCCCCAAATTGCAAAGTGGCCCCACAGCCTCAGAGCTGTGTCAAATACAATCAGCCTTTGACTTAACGACCACTTGCTTAGCGTCCGTTTGAAGTTCTGATGGATGTACAGGGGGAGGTACCTATGACCCAGATCTGAACTGTTTGCATGGATAGGATAGGATAGGGAATAGAATAATAATAGAATAGAAAGTAGAATAGAAAGTAGAAGAATAGAATAGAATAGAATAGAATAGAATAGAATAGAGTAGAGTAGAGTAGAGTAGAGTAGAGTAGAGTTAGAGTAGAGTTAGAGTAGAGTAGAGTAGATTGAATGGAATGGAATGGAATATAATAGAATAGACTAGAATGAAGAATAGAATAGAGTAGAGTAGAGTAGAGTAGAGTAGAGTAGAGTTAGAGTAGAGTAGAGTAGAGTTAGAGTAGAGTAGAATAAATGGAATGGAATGGAATGGAATAGACTAGACTAGAATGCAGACTAGACTAGTCTAGACTAGAGTAGAGTAGAAAGAATGGAATGGAATGGAATAGGCAATAGAATAGAGTAGAGTAGAGTAGAGTAGAGTAGAATAGAATAGAATAGAACAGAATAGAACAGAATAGAATAGAATAGAAAAAATGGAATGGAATGGAATGGAATACAATAGAATAGAACAAAATAGAATAGAGTAGAAAATATGGAATGGAATGGAATAGGCAATAGAATAGAGTAGAGTAGAGTAGAGTAGAGTAGAGTAGAGTAGAGTAGAGTAGAGTAGAGTAGAGCAGAAAATATGGAATGGAATGGAATGGAATAGGGCCTATTCCATTCCATTCCATATTTTCTACTCTATTCTATTCTATTCCACTCTATTCTGCATTCTATTCAATTCTAGAATGCAGAATAGAGTGGAATAGAATAGAATAGAAAATATGGAATGGAATGGAACAACTGCAGTGATTCGCTTAAGAACGGAAGCGGTGAATGCTCCAACACTGGAAGTCTTTAAGAAGAGACTGGAGAGCCATTTGTCTGAAATGGTATAGGGTTTCCTGCCTGAGCAGGGGGTTGGACTAGATGACCTCCAAGGTACCTTCCAACTTTATTATTATTATTATTATTATTATTATTATTATTATTATTATTATTATTATTATTATTATTATTATTATTAGTCGCTTTCATGGCTAAGGCAGGACTTGAACTCACGACCTCCCTCCTATCTAGCCTGATGCTTTAACCACTGACTGAGCTCAATGGTAAGAGGGCCAAAAACACAATTCCAGTTTCTAATGTCAACGCAGCCCCCGCCCGCCCCAATGCTGCCCCCTTCCTCTGGGAGGGGAACGAAGGCCCTGGACCCGAACCCAGGGCAGCTTCCAAATCCATTCACCTCACTCAAAAGGCGTCTCTGGGAACATCGCCCCGTTTCTCAATCAGATGCTGGGGGATTATGCAGCCCTGCGCAACACCTGTCCTCTGCCAGATGTTGACTCTCCCTCCTTGCAACCCCAGTAATGTCCAGGGGAGGTCTTTGATGGATGATGATGATGATGATGATGATGATGATGATGATGATGATGATAATAATAATAATAATAATAATAATAATATTATTATTATTATTATTAAAGTTGGAAGGGACCTTGGAGGTTATCTAGTCCAACCCCCTGCTCAGGCAGGAAACCCTATACCATTTCAGACAAATGGCCATCCAGTCTCTTCTTAGAAACTTCCAGTGTTGGAGCATTCACCGCTTCTGGGGGCAGGTAGTTCCACTGGTTAATTGTTCTAACTGTCAGGAAGTTTCTCCTTAGTTCTAGGTTGCTTCTGTCCTTGATGAGATGATGGTTAACAGATGAATCAGATGGGAGATGGCTGCCTTGACAGGTGGAGGTGCCTTTAGTGACCACTGAAAGTTATAACAGGACTGAAAAAAGGGGACTTACGACCATTTTTTCCACACTGGTGACGCAGGCAGCATCCCTGTGATCACATGATCAAAATACAGACACTTGGGTCACCGACATGGATTTACGAGAGCGGTTAATTTCCTCTGTGTGTGTGTGTGTGTGTGTGTGTGTGTGTGTGTCACGTGATAACCATTTGCAACCTTACTGGGGGGGGACTTGCCTTGCTTAGCGACACAAATTTTGGGGGGCTCAATTGCTGAGACTCTAGAAAGAGTACAGAGAAGAGCAACAGAGATGATCAGGGGACTGGAGGCTAAAGCATATAAGGAACGGCTGCTGGAATTGGGTATGTCTAGTTTAATGAAGAGAAGGACGAGGGGAGACATGAGAGCAGTCTTCCAGTATCTCAGGGGCTGCCCCAAAGAAGAGGGAGTCAAGCTCTTCTCCAAAGTCACCCGAAGGCAGGACAAGAAGCAATGGATGGAAACTGACCAAGGAGAGAAGCAACCTAGAACTAAGGAGAAACTTCCTGACAGTCAGAACAATTAACCAGTGGAACCACCTGCCTCCAGAAGTTGTGAATGCTCCAACACTGGAAGTTTTTAAGAAGAGACTGGACAGCCATTTGTCTGAAATGGTATAGGGTTTCCTGCCTGAGCAGGAGGTTGGACTAGATGACCTCTGAGGTCCCTTCCAACTTTATCATTATTATTATTATTATTATTATTATTATTATTATTATTATTATTATTATTATTATTATTAAAAGCGGCTCAAAAGTTGGAGACGCCCCCTTCCCGCCCCCGCCCTGAAAGAAAGACCACCCGTTTTTGGCAAGAAAGAGCCCGGCGTTTGGCCCCCTTCGAAGGGGGCAGCAGACCCACCTTGCTGCTTTTGTCCCGGTGAATGCGAGGGACTACCACAAAATGGAAGTGCTTCAGCTCCCGGGCACAACGTTCCCCGTTGCGGCCTTCGCTCTCAAAGTCCAGCTCCTGGGCCAGGGTCCCCTTCAGGTCCTGGAAGGAGATGGGGAGGAGAGAAGGTGGGGAGGGAGGGGGGGGTCAGAGTGCCAAACATTGCCGGGTACCACCCAGAGACCCCTAAGCAAGGAATGGAGACGCCACGTCCGTTCCTGGCGCATTTTGCAAGCCGAGAGTGCTGGGCTATGGGGAAGACTACTGGCAGCCGAACGGGCTTGGGGTTTCCACCAGAGGGAAGTGAGGAGAAGGGCTGCTCTGCCAGGGGGTTGGGCTAGAAGACCTCCAAGGTCCCTTCCAGCCCTATCAGTCTGTGATCCCTTTGGCAAAGGGGCATGGACGCTCATGGGGGAGACCTAGAGCCTGTTCAGAAGCAGCCAGGCTGAATCAGGGATGTCCTATCTCAGGGGTAGGCAACCTTGGCTCTTTTATGACTGGTGGACTTCAACTCCCAGAATTCCTGAGCCAGCATGGGGGAACTATGGCCTCCTCATGACTCATGGACTTCAACTCCCAGAATTCCTGAGCCAGCATGGGGGAACTATGGCCTCCTCATGACTCGTGGACTTCAACTCCCAGAATTCCTGAGCCAGCATGGGGGAACTATGGGCCCTTCATGACTCGTGGATTTCAACTCCCAGAATTCCTGAGCCAGCATGGGGGAACTAT